GAGTGGTTTAATGTTGTTTATTTTTTCGTTACCATTCCTTGGGTACATCGTAGTTGTCCTCGTATATGTCATGGTGACGATACGAAAATTTTGAGGAAATTTCGGCAAATCCCATTCATTTCTGTACACTTCTACCCGAATTCGTATGTAAACTCCTATAATTAGTGAGGAAATTCATGAGCTCAGCTGAGGCTTAGCGAACGAATATTTCAACACTGTCTCGGACAGCTCAGTTCAGTGGGTATTATGTTGTCTCCTTTTAGGTGGCTACATGCACTTTACTTCTCCCCTATGTTGACGACTACTATCGAGCATCACAGGTAGGAAGGCGAGATCATCGTTGCAGTGGTTGAATAAGAAGTGATGACAGATTGGTGCTATGAGGGTATTGGGGGGCCTTGAGAGACCTAAGCAAGGGGACCTGGACTGGTGTTGTGCTGGCCTTCACCGCTGGGCTAAGGGTATTAGTGATGGCACTATGGATGTTGAGGAAATACGATCGTAAGTGTTTTCTATGAAAGTGAGAGCATTTGATTGGTCCCGTTGTATTGAGGTACTTGCCAGTTTTCTCTCGCTACATGTGTCTGCATGCTAGTGATGACGATGTGGTACTGCACGCTGCGAAGGTGGTGGAAGCATTGTGGAAATTGGAAAAGTATAAGTGGATTGGTCTGGAGAATCGTATAAGTGAATATCCGCTCGGTGTTGGGCGATTTTATCCGACGGTGTTGTTTCGAACAACGTTGGGGAAATAATCACCCAATGTAGGAAGTTTTTTTTCGGAAAATATCGCAATTTGCTTGATTCGCGGCTTATTCGTTCTCTGTACATTCCCTTTGTCGACCTTCATTGGCTACTCCAAATGGGGAGGGCGTTGCCAGACCAGAGCGCAGACCAACAGCTGGCAGCAAGTTGGCTGTTTGTAAGGTTGAACTACTCAGCGCAAGGGGGTCAGTGTTCGGCTGAGATTTTGTTTTTGTTCTTGAAACGTATCACTGCTGGCTGAATGCATCTCAGCTATCGGTATATTCACTGTATCGCCCAATCGTCCTCGCTGTTTTTAGTGAACTGTTTATGAGCACACTAGTATGTTGTCTCAGTCGGGAGCCTCTCAAACGTTCCCTACAGGACTGCATTGACTCGGTAGTACAGAAGATAGAGGATAAAGCTGCTAACAATGACTTGATCATCACCACTGCATTAGTGAGGCCCCAATTCACAGGGGAAGTTTCCTTGAATAAGTCATTCATCAGGTCCAGCTCGTGGAGCTTCTAGTGACGGCCTTCAAAGAGTATACTCCAGTGTGTGAACTGATGAGGAATTCCTTGATATCTAAGTGGCTGTTAAGGAGAGGGAATTTGAACAGTATTGGTCGTGTATTGTTTCTTATGGAACTGAATGGTGAGTGAAAAATGTTGGTCTCAGTAGCCTACACTGTTTTATTCTGATGCCAGATGATGCTGTCAATGAGCTTTCTGGGCTGGTAGCGCACTCGGAAGATTCGTCGTTGTCGTCGTCCTCGGAGATTCTGGCAACACTGTGTCGGTATGGAGGGGATAGGGAAGTAGCTGCTAGAGGATTGAAGGCAGCGCGTGATGGTAGGGAGTTTCGACAGGTTCTGGGGAGCACTGTGGAATAATATGCATACGGTTGGTCATGTGTGTCGATGAAAATGAGGAACGTGTGGAAAGTTTTTGTCAGTTTTCATACACTACATGAAGATTTGGGCGGCGCGCGGTATTGGTCGGGTTGAATTTTATCGGTTCATCTACTGGATCAATTCAGCAGTTAGTGCCTAGTGGCATCACCAGTTTGCGCCATGTGTTGTAACAATGGATGAGCAG